CTCCTGCCGCTCGGCAGACGCCTCCTGCTGGCTCATCAGCTCTCGGTTCACGTCCTGGGCACAGAGGGAGGCTGGGATGAGACACAGAAACCAGCACGGAGGAGATCCAGGACCCCTTGCCCAGCCCCAGCCCTGGCAGCTCATTGCAGCACCATGAGGGATGGGAACTGGGAAGAGGAACAGGAACGCTCTGCTGGGCAGGACCCCACACACCCCCTGGGCTCTGCAGCCCAGGACCCACACACCCCCTGACCCATCTCCAGGCTCAGGAGAACAAGCCCAGGGCTGGAACCCAACACACTGTTCCAACTTGCCAAGCAGGAACCTGCTTCTCCAGCCACCGATCTCCTGCTGTGCCCACCTGCCCCAGGAGCAGCAGAGCACTGCCCCTGCCACCCCTGCCTCCCCGAGGAGCCCCAGCGCCCCGGGCAGCACCTGCAGGTGTGCTGTGAGCTCCCGGTACTTCTTGATGGTCTGCTGGTAGTCGGCCACGGTCTCCTGCGCCGCCTCCACGCGCCGCTCCGCCTGCCGCACGCGCGCCCCGGCCATGTCCAGCTGCTCCCGCAGCTCCAGCTCCGTCTCCCGCGCGTTCTCCTGCAGCTCGTCGTTCATCTCGTTCATGGCCTCCTGCGGGGGGGCACAGCCTGCGGTCACGCCGGGTGCTCTGGGGCTGAGGGGCACCCCGGGGGGGCCACAGAGGGTCCCAGCCCCTCCGGCACCGCTCCCGGGCCGTGCCCGTAACGCAGGGTGGGAGCAGCTGGGAGCCCCCAGCAGCACCCCGGCTGCTGAGCAATCCCCTTACCAGGTCGCCCACGGTCTCGCGCAGCTCCCGGACTTTCTCCTCCAGGTCCAGGTTCCTCTCTGTCAGGGTCTCCACCATCTCCTCAGCACCCAGAGCAGCGTCCACCTGCGGGCACACGCCACGTCTGCCTCCCTCCTGGAGCTCCGGGAGCTGCACCAGCAGCTCCACGGTCCTCCTCCGTGGGACACGGCTGAGAAATCCGTCTCCAGGGGAGCAGAAGAAGATCCCCATGGAGCTGCCTCCCCCGGGAGGGCAGGGAACCCAGAGAGCAGAGCGAGCCCAGAGGGACAGGCAGGTGACAGGAGGGGCCTGGCTCTGTCTCCTGGGGCTGTCACCAGCCCTGGGGCAGGAGGCTGAGCAGCCTGGGGCAGGGTCCACCCCCAGGCTGAGCCTTTGCAGACTCATGACACTGGCTTCCACTGTTCCCCAGGGAGCCAGGGCGGCCTGGACATTCCAGCAGGAAGGCAGGCAGCTCAGTCAGGAAGTGTCCTATCCCACCTGCCCACCTCCCCATAACCAGGGGGGGCGTGGGGCCAGTGTCCCAGCAGAGCAGCCCCTGGGAGAAGCAGCACAGGCTGCTCCACAGGGAGTGAGGAACCTTCCTGGGGGGTTCCTCAGGGCTGCCCCACGGCTCAGCCTGGCCAGGAACAGACCTTGGGGAGAGGGTGGCTCAGCAGACACAGGTGGCCCCAGGGAAGCTGGACATGATCCGTGTCCTGTGCTCCAGAGCCACCCCCAGGGGGAGCCCAGCACAATTCCATCTCTGGGACAGGGTTTGCTGCTGCACGTGGAGCCAGCAGGACAAGTTCCTGCCCTGGTGCCACCCACGGGTCTCCAGAGCCCCTGGCAGGACTCACTTGGTGCCAGACAGGGCTCAGCTCACCCCAGAGCAGCAGCTCCATGACCCAACGGCTCCAACCTCCCCCTTCCACTCATGAGCTGAGGCTGAGGGACCTGGGGCTGTTTGGCCTGGAGGAGACTTGCGGGGGGTCTCATCAGTGCTGATCAGTATCTCCAGGGGGTGTCAGGAGGGTGGGACCAGACTCCTTCCTGCAGTGCCCAGTGACAGACAAGGAGCAATGGGCATAAACTGGAGCACAGGAGGGTCCAGCTAAATGTAAGGAAGAACTTCACTGTGAGGGTGGCAGAGCCCTGGGACAGGGTGCCCAGAGAGGTTGTGGAGTCTCCTTCTCTGGAGACATTCCAGACTTGTCTGGGTGTGTTCCTGTGGGATCTGCTGGAGGTGACCCTGCTCCAGCAAGGGGCTGGACTGGATGTTCTCCAGACCCTGACTGTGACTCTGTGACTCTGTCCTTCCCCCATGGACTCACCTGCTCCTTCAGCTCATCCACGGTTTTCTCTGCCTGCTTCACCTCCTCCTGCAGCTTCTCCCTCTGCTGCCTCAGGGACTCCAGCTCCGTGTTCTTCTTCTCCATCTGCTTCTGCAGCTTCACGTGCTCCTGCTTCTCCGAGGCAGACAGGTCCCTCATCCTGCAGAGAACAACCAGGCCCATCACAGGCCCAGCAGAGCCCCAGGGGCTGCAGCAAGAACCCATCCCCTTCCCAGCCCCTGCTCTTGGTGGCCCCCAGCAGAGTCCAGCCCCCTGCCCAGGCTGGTGGCCCATGGCAGGATGAGCCTGTGGTGGGAACATGGGCAGAGATGGGGTGAAGTGGTGCCTGAGACGGCACCTTCCTTTGAAAGAATGGGAGTGAAAGGGGATGGAGAGCAGGAGAATGTGGGAAAAGGGACAACAGAGACAGGCAGGAGAGACAGGCAGTCAGTGGGACAGGGACGTAGAGCCCAGTGAGCAAAGAATAAACCCCATGGGCAGGTTCTCCAAACAGTGGAGAACACAGTCTCCTCCCAGACCAAGACAGGGGCTACCCTGGGAAGGACCTTCCCTGGCAGCTCTGAGGAGCTCGGGTGGTCTCCTACCTTACAAGAGCTTCCTTGAGTCTGGCATTCTGCTCCTCCAGCTGTTTGACTTGGTAACTGGAGGCTGCTCCATCCGAGCCTGAGGAAGAAAGGAATTGTCATCCTGCTTGTGCAGACTGACCAGCCATGGACAGACCCTGCTCCTCAGCCCTAATGACCTCATGAACACCAGGAAGGGAACAGCTAAGGAACTTCAGGTACAGCCTTCCAGTGCCTGAAGGGGCTCCAGGAAAGCTGGGAGGGACTTGGGACAAGGGAAAGGAGGGATGGGATGAGGGGGAAGGGTTTCCAGCTGGGAAAGAAAGACTTAGATTAAATATTGAGAAGAAATTCTTGTGAGGGTGTTGAGACCCTGGCCCAGGTTGCCCAGAGAAGCTGTGGCTGCCCCATCCCTGGCAGTGCTGAAGGACAGGTTGGATGGGGCTTGGAGCAGCCTGGGCTGCTGGGAGGTGTCCCTGCCCATGCAGGGGGGGGACTGGATGAGCTTTAAGGTCCTTTCCCACCCAAACCAGTCCCTCTGCAGCTCAGAAAAGCTGCAGTGAGGAGCTCCCCAAGGCCAGGCTGACACCGCCCAGAACGTGACCCCTTCCCACCTTTCTCTTCAATCTCGTGCTTCAGGATCTCCAGGTCCATGGTGAGATATTCCACCTTCTCCTTCAGGGAGTCCACCTCCTGCTGCAGGGACTCTGCTCTCTCCTCTGCCATCTCCTTGTCCAGCGTGGCCATCTCGATGGCGTCGGCCGTGTCCGCCATCTCCTCCATGTAGCGCTCCTTGGCCTCCAGGGCATCAAGGACAGGTTGGATGGGGCTTGGAGCAGCCTGGGCTGCTGGGAGGTGTCCCTGCCCATGCAGGGGGGGGGACTGGATGAGCTTTAAGGTCCTTTCCCACCCAAACCAGTCCCTCTGCAGCTCAGAAAAGCTGCAGTGAGGAGCTCCCCAAGGCCAGGCTGACACCGCCCAGAACGTGACCCCTTCCCACCTTTCTCTTCGATCTCGTGCTTCAGGATCTCCAGGTCCATGGTGAGATATTCCACCTTCTCCTTCAGGGAGTCCACCTCCTGCTGCAGGGACTCTGCTCTCTCCTCTGCCATCTCCTTGTCCAGCGTGGCCATCTCGATGGCGTCGGCCGTGTCCGCCATCTCCTCCATGTAGCGCTCCTTGGCCTCCAGGGCATCCTTGGCCTCCTGTGCTCAAGGACACACCAGTGAGGACACCAGGCCCTGGAGTCCCACGGCCAGGGATGGAGAGACACCTCTCACAACCACCCTTGGACAACTGTGTCTCTCCTGGCTCTCCCAAGGCAGGATCAAGCCCAATCAACAGCAGCTTATCCGTGCTGAGGCACCAAGAGCAGGTCACCCATCCCTGGGGACAAGGGAAGGGCCACCCTGCAGCACTGGGGTGACATTCCAACAGCACCCCAAGGCCAGGCTCAGCAAGAGGCCACCAGAGGAAAGCTCTTGGGAATGAGGGACACCAAGAGCTGCAGAGCCCGTGGCTTGTGCTGGCCCTGGGGCAGATCACACTCATTAGTGTCCATTGGACAGTCAAGATCAGGAGGTGCAGAGAAGCCACTGGAGAGAGGACCTGACCCCAGAGCTGGCCTGGAAAGATGCAGCACATGGGGAAGGAGGCACCCAGGGACTCCCCATCACCAGAGCAGCTGGGGGGAGCCAGGACCCCTGCAGATCTCCAGACCCCTCCAACACCCCCACCCCTCCCCCTGCACACAACTGAACCTTGCACTGCCACAGACCTGCCTGCTGGGCAGCCCAGGCTCCTGCCTCACAGGCTGGGGCAGGAGGGGAGGAGCAAAGTGACTCCTGGGACTCACCAGAGCTCTGGGACCTTGGCAGGGCCCTGCAGATCCCACTCACCAGCTGCTCTGCTCTGACACCTCCTGTGGCCACAGCACAAAGCCACAGCAGCTCCAGGACAAGCTGGACCCTGAGGGTCCAGACCCAAATCCCTAAACCCCTTTTGAGACGGAGGGAGCTCGGAGGCCTCTGCAGGGCCCAGCAGGAGGAGCCAGCAGAGCACACAGTTCAGAGCTGGCATTTCCTAAAAACACCTCAGGGGAGGCAGCCCTGGCCTCCTCTCCCTGAGGCAGCCCCAGGACAGGTGCCCCCGGGGACACTCACCTTCTTGGCCTCCTTCAGGCGCCTCTGGAGATCAGCCTGCTGCTCCTGCATTTTGCTCTTCCATTCCTGCACCTGCTCCAGCTGGATCTTGTACTTCTCCAGCTCCTTCAGCTTGGCTTTGTCCTCGTTCCGCTTGATCTTCAGGGTCTCCAGTTTCTCCTCCAGGTCCCTGACTTGAGAGCGCAGATTCTCCTCCTCCTACAGCACCAACACCAGGAGTTCCCAGAGGGAGCAGCCTCGGCCCTTGGAGAGGGCTCCAGGCTGGTTGATTTAACCCCCCAGAGCCCATATTTTGGCGTGTGGAAGAACCCACCCCCTGCCCCCCCAGCCACAGGGTCCCTCTGCCACCCGTGTCCTTTCTTTTATCACCCACACCAGGAGGGACAAAACCCTTCCTGAACACCCTGACAAAGCCCTTCTGGCTGGCTCAGGTCCTGAGGACCTTGCTTTGGGCTTCCCTGGGATTCAGGGATGCCTAAATCCTTAAAAAACCCAACCCCCCCCCTCGACTGACACCCCAGCTCACCCTGCACTAACTCCTGTGCCCCCCAGAGCTTCTCCAGGGCTTTTCCAGCCCCTTCCCTGCACTGAGGGGGGGCCTGGGCTCCCTCCTGCTGCACTGCCAGCTGCCCAGCACCCTCTGGTTTCAACCCTCCTGCTCCTGTGGGTTTGGTGGGGAAACCAACTTCACCCCCAGGGAAAAGAGCCCAGAAGGATGTGGAAAGCAGGGGGTCAGGGCACTGCCCTGGGTCCTGCAGGGTGAGCCTGAGACCACAGCTGGAAAGAAGGTTGGTGTGTGGGAAAGGGGCAAAAGGCTGGAGATTTCCAAGGAGATGCAAACACAGACCCCCTGGGGGTGACATCCCCCTGGCTGGGATGGTTCCCTGGCACAAGACCCCTCTGCTCCAAGGGAAGGCACAGCCCAGCCTGCCTGGGAACACCAGCAGGGTTGGTGTTCCTGGGCTGGAGCTGGGGAAGCAGCAGCTGGAGGGAACTGGAGCACAGGAGGTTCCAGGTGAATATAAGGAAAAACTTCTTCACTGTGAGGGTGGCAGAGCCCTGGGACAGGCTGCCCAGGGAGGTGGTGGAGTCTCCTCTGGAGACATTCCAAACCCTTCTGGTGTGTTTGTGTGGGATCTGCTGGAGGTGACCCTGCCCTGGCAGGTCCCCAAAACCAGCCAGATCATCCCACTCACCCGTCACCCCCTTCCCTGCCCTGTGCCCTGCACAGAAACCCCAGGTCCTTTGTTTCTTTGAATTCCCTAACTCCATCTTGGTGCTGTGCTGGGAGACTCAGCCCTCAGCCCCACCCCAGGATGCCCTGTGCTCTTCTCCAGCTGCTTCCTGATCCCACTGCAGCATCCACACAATTCCCAGTGAGCTCCCAGTAGGGAAACCTGATCCTGCCTTTGCTGGCTCCTCTCTGGCTGGATCAGCTCCCAGGGGCAGGGAAGGCTGAGGCCAGCAGAGCTGTACCTGGGCAACCAGCTGGCAGCCAGGGCAGCAGAAGGGGATGAGGTCACCCCTGCCCCTGGCCAGGCTTAAAGCAGACTCTTAAACCCTGACACCCCCAAGCTGGTTGCCATTCAGGAACAGATCTGGGGAAAAACAACAATCCTAGGTGATGTTGAGCAACACAGGGAAACCCCCCAGATTTCTGCTCTGCTGCTTCCTCAACTCTGGACACCTCAGTGGCACCAGTAACAGCTTTGGCACCCACCAGATAAACCAGTTACAGGGCCATGGTCACTGGGGGGGCACACAGGACACCCCTCCCTTCCCCCACCAGTGGCTTTTCCAGCCTTTCCCCCAGTCCCACCTCAGAGCCAGCTCCTGGTCCTGCCCTGCCCTCCTGCCCCAGACCTCCCACCAGCCCCAAGTGCAACCCCTTCATCCACAGCAGGATGGAAGGAACGAGAAACCATCTCAAGGATCCAGGAGGGAATGACCCTGCTGCTGGGAACACCCCCAGCCGGGAGCTGCAGGACCCCCCCATGGCACCCGAGGGCAGGAGGGTCCCCAGAGGGTCCCCAGCTCTCACCGTGCAGCCAAAGGCTCCTGGTCCCTGAGGCAGAGCTGTGCCACATCCATGGAGTCCAGCTGGCACG